AGGTTACTCCTGTTCTGACTTAATAATGAAAGGTTAGAGTAATTTTTCCCTTTTTTTTCTAAACAGTGGAGGTTACTCTTTCCCTGACTAAATAATGAAAGGGTTATAGTGATTTCCCTTTGTATCTTCAGGGGAGGTTACCTATCTGGCTTAATAAAGGGAAGGTTAGGAGTGTTTTCCCCTTTGTTTTCTTCGGGGGAGGTTACCCCATCTGGTTTAATAAAAAAAGGGTTTAAAGAGGGGAATTTCCCCTTTGGTTTTCTTCAGGGGTTTTTTAACTTTATTAAATTTAAAAAATAAAAGGTTAGAGTGTTTTCCCCTTTTTTTTTCAAACCAGGGGGGGGGTTACTCTGCCCCTGAACTTAAGGGAAAGGTGAAAAGTGATTTCCTTGTTTTTTTTCCAGGGGGGGTTTTTAATCTAATTTTAATAATAAATGTTAGAGTATGTTTTTTTTTTTTGCTAAAAAGGGGGAGGTTTTTAACCCCCTTTCTGAACCTTAATTATTTTAAAGGCTTTCAGTGATTTTCCCCTTTTGTTTTCAAAAAGGGTAGGTTACTCTATTTTTGACCTTAAAACCTTAAAAGGGTTTTTGTAAATTTTTGGGTTTTCTTAGGGAAATTTTCCCCTTTTTCCGAGTGAGGTTACTCGGACTTAATAATGAAAGGTTTAGGGGGTTTCCCCTTTTGCTTTCTAAACCCCTTTTTGAAATTTTCAGTGGAGCGTACACTAAACCAATAGTTTTTAATAATTTGGAGGTGGGGTGCCCAAAATTTGCTTTTTTCCGGGGGAGGTTCCCTCTATTTTGAAAAAATATTAAAAAATCTTTAATAAAGATTGGGAAAAGTTTTAACTTTAAAAAACGTTCAAAAAAACCCCTTTTTAAATTTCCCCAGTACTTTTTTTACCCTTTTTCAAAAAAAAAATTTGCATACAAAAATACATAAAAATTTGTTTTTGTTTCAAATAAATGAAATAAAATAAAACTGCATAAAAAAACAAAACTTTTGCAAATGATACAAAAATTTTAAATTATAAAGTTGGGGGTGCTACCTAATTGGAGGGGAAAAAAGCTTTTAATAAAATTATAAATTTTAAAAACCTTTAAGCAATTTTAACGTAAAATGAAAACCCGACCTTACTAAATGCATCGGTAAGTAAAAAAATTCAAGCAATACGACAAATCAAATTATCACTTTAAAGTTAAGATTGTTTTAAGTATTGTTTTTTACCAGACTCAAAACTAACCTATGATAAAATTTCAAATATTCTTCCAGACTCAAACAAATTTAAAAAATTTTCAAAAAATTTCTTTTCTTCTGAAATTTCAAACCCTAAGTTAACGAATTTTTCAAGTAATTCTTTTCCCAAGACTTAAAACCTAAGTTTAAGGAAAATATTCCCAAGTATGGTTCCAGACCTCAAAACCTAAAGATATTTAAATTATTGTTCCCAAACTCAAACTTCGTTTTAAAAGATGTTTCAAGTATAACTTCCCAATTAGATCAGACTTAGTTAAGATAACTTTTCTAGTTTGTTTCCAAAAGAACTCTAAATTAAAGTTTAAAGATATTATCAATTATTATTCAATCTGCACACTGCAAAACTAAAATAGTTTTCTAAGACTCCAATTAAGTAAAGATTTTGTTGTTTTCCAAAAACAAAAAGGTTAGTTAAGAAATTTTCAAGTGTTTTTCCCCAGCCCTTAAAACCCCAAAATTAAAATTTTTTCAAGTATTTTTTAAAAGACCCCAAAGTTTTTTAGTTAAAATATTTAAAGAAATTGGGTTCCCAAAATTTAAAGCTCAGTTAAAAGATGTTTTCAAGTTTTTTTTCAAGACTCAAAAAAAATTCCCCAATTTATTTCAAGTATTTTTTTCAAAGCTCAAAAAAAGTGAAGTTTAAAATTTAAAAGTGTTGTTTCCAGACCCAAAAGCAAAAGTTAAAGGTATTTTCAAATTTTTTGTGCAAGACCGGGGTTAGAAAAGATTTAAAAAGATTTTTTCCATATTTAAAGCTAATTTTTAGAAAATTTCCCCAATTTAAATTGTTTCAGCCCTAAAAACTAATTTAAAGGGCCCTCAAATTAAGTAAAGATATTTCAAGTGGTTGTTTCCAGACACAAAAAGGGCTAAGTTAAGAAAGTTCGATTGTTGTTCAAGACTCAAACTCTGTTTTAAAATATTTCAAAGTATTGTTCCAGACTCAAGCTTAGTAAAAGATATTTCAAGTTTTGTCCCAGACTCAGACTCAATTAAGATAGTTCAAGTATTGTTCAAAGCTCCCACCCAGTTAAGAATGTTTCAACACTATTCTTTCCCAGACACAAGCTAAGTTAAGATATTTCAAGTATTGTTCAGACTTAAACTAAGTTAAGATAGTTCAAGTGTTGTTCCCAGACATAAGGCACAAGCTAAGTTAAGACATTTCAAATATTGATTCAGACTCAGACTTAGTCAAGATATTTCAAATATTGATTCAGACCTCAAACTAAGTCAAAATTTTTAAATTTTTTTCCCCAGATTTAAATTTTAAATTAAAAAGATATTTCAAGTTTTTTGGTTCAAAGCTAAAAAGTAAAGTTAAGATTTTTAAAAGTATTTTTTCCAAGTCCCCAAAAGTTTAAAAATATTACAAGAAATTGTTAAAGGCTAAAACAAGTTAAAAATTATTTCAAGTTTTGTTCCAGCCCAAGAAAGAAAGTTTTTCAAATATTGTGAAAAGATCAAGCTTAGATAAGATATTTAAAGTTTTTTTTCCATATTTAAAGTTTAATTTTTTAGATATTTAAATTTAAATTTGTTTCCAAAACTCAAACAAAGGGGTTAAGACTCAAATTAAGTAAAGAAAATTTAAAGTTTTTTGTGTCAGAAAAAATTTAAGTTAAGAAATTTAAAAATTTTTTTTAAAAACTCAAACTCTTTTTAAATTTTTTCAGTATTTTTCCCAGACTAAAGCTTAGTAAAAGAATTTTCAAGTTTTGTCCCAGACTCAGAACTCAATTAACGATAGTTCAAGTATTGTTCAAAGCTCACACCCAGTTAAAATGTTTTCAACTATTTTCTTCCAGACACAAGCTAAGTTAAGATATTTTCAAGTAATTGTTCAAATTGACTTAAAAACTAAGTTAAAGATAGTTCAATGGTTGGGGTGGTTTCCAGACACAAGCTAAGTTTAAGGGCACATTTCAAAATATTGATTCAGACTCAGACTTAAAGGTCAAGATAATTTCAAATATTGATTCAGACTCAAACTAAGTCAAGATATTTCAATTTTTTCCCAGACTTAAACTCAATTAAGATATTTTCAAAGTATTGTTCCCAAAAGCTCAAAGTCAGTTACAAATTAAGATGTTTCAAGTATTTCCCTTCAAGGTCTCAAAATTTAGTTAAGATATTACCAAAGTATTTTAAAGGCTCAGTAAGTTAAGTTTTCAAGTGTTGTTCCAGACACAAGCTATTTAAAATATTTCAAGATGATTTTCAAGTTTTGTTCCAGACTCAGACAAGTATTTTCAAGTATTGTTCCATAAGTTAAGATATTTCAAGCTTAGATAAGATATTTCAAGTATCTCCAAAAACTCATTAAGTTAAGATATTTCAATTATTCTTTCATAACTCAACTTAAAGATATTTTAAGTTTAGTTTAGATATTTCAAGTGATTTTCCAGACACAAGTTTATTATTTCAAGTAGTGGTCTTCATTCAAACTAAGCTTTTTTTCATTTATGGACGTTTAGATAGTAAAGCAGTTCCCACGAAACAAATTAATTTCAATTTTTCCCCCAAATATTAACAAATATATTAATGTTTCAAACTATGAAAGGACATCGTTAGAATTATTTCAGAATTTTAAGAATGTTGAGATATTTTAAATATTCCAGAACTGAAATCGATTTTTTAAAATCTGTTTAAAGAAATATTTACAAACGCAAAGAATTTTCCAAGATACAAGACAGATTTAACATGTCAAATGATGTTCTTTAAAATATTCCAGATATATATAAACTAGTATACAAAATTTTGATGGTTTACCTCTGTTTACCCGTGACACAAATTATAGCCAACTATTTTAAATAATACTTGAAAAAGAAAAACGTAATTCTATAAGTAAAGATACTAGGTCTATAAAGTATTTTCATATTTTTATATGTACTAAGTGAAAAGATTCTAAGCATTAATCATTAAATCTACCCTAAAATTGTTTTGAAATATTTCAAGTTTCTGTATACTTGTAAAAAAGGAAGTATCCAATTTTGACTATAGTGTGTTCCTTTAAATTGTTTTTGATGTTAAATTCATATTGCAAAAGAATTTGTAAAAGCAAGTATGACCAAAGGGAGACCACTATAAATTAAGTAACGGTGTAACCACCCCTGAAAATTGGACCGAAAGGCTTCTCTCCCTATTGATAATTAAACATTATGCCTTTTGCGGCTAAATTTTCACAACCAAATGCTATTACTTTTGATTGATATATGTTGGAAGTTTTACAGTAGCATTATGAAAGTCATTTTCCCCATAAGTTAATGTTAGTACCGAGGATGTGTGAGAGTTATCAGTTAGAAAAAAATAACAAGTGGTAATGGAGTGTAAACTGACGGGAAAACGACTTTTTATATCATTTTATACTTGTTTTAATGAAGAGAAGTCTCCTTTGGTCCGTTCTTATCATTTGAAATTTCAGGGGAGATCAATCTGTATTTTAAAACAAGTAGCCTCCCTTTTCGCTTGATGTAATTTGCAAAGCAATAAATAAATAAATAGATAAATAAAGATAAGTAAGTAAATAAATAAATAAATAAATAAATAAATAAATAAATAAATAAATAAAATAAATAAATAAATAAATAAATAAATAAATAAATGAATAAATAAATAAATAAATAAATTAATTAATTAATTAATTAATAAAAAAAATAAAACAGGCAAGTAAAGTTAAAAAATTGATAGAATAACGTATCAAAAGCGAAAAAAAAAAGCTAAATGATGCTAGCCCCCACCATCTTTTTTTAACTTTTGTCAGATCATATAAAAACTGAAAACAACAATAAAAAAATCAACAACAACAAAAAAAAAACAAGCAGAAACGCATGCATCGTCGGATACTCACGGTTGATAAACATGTAATCAAGATAGGCAGTGTTTATCAGTGGCTATCCGGCGATGAAACGCACGAGGATATGCTTGGAAATGAAAATGATAAAGTAACCCTTTGTGACTCCTTATTTAAAGCATTTAAAAGATAAAAAAATGAAACAAATGATACTTTAATATTATAAAGGAACACATTATATCATGTATATGGTTGATAATATTATCGGAAGCGGACTTGTCCAGCTTCCGTTTCTGAATACGTTCATTCTCAATTTAGGGAATATAACTTGAATAAAATCAAATTTGAAATTGGTCAGCCAACGTTTAGAGCCTGGTCAATCTGCATGGACGTACAGGTTGGCCTGGCTGCATACTGGTGGCAAAAGCTGGTCACTTTAAGGTCAAGCATGTTATAGGTAAACAACTGAATGGTCACTTGTGACAATACTATTCTTTCATTCCATTTCTTGTTACCTTATTTCAATTTTTTATTTTCATTTTTTGTTTGCTTTATTTTATTGTTTTTATTTTATCTTATTTCATTATTTATGTTTTCATTTTATTTCATTATTGTTCATTTCATTTAATTTTATTGTTTATATTTCATTTCACTCATATTGTTATTTCATTACTTTATTTCATTATTGTTCTTCTGGTCGTGATTACAATCATTTTAATATTTTATTTAATTTTTTCATCATTGCATGTTTTTAAATGATGAAATATTTCATCGTTGGAGTTTTCATTATGTTTCATTAATGTTGTTTTTTGGTGGTAGTGGTGATATTCTTGGTGGTGTTATTATTATCTAAATCTTAAAAATTTCAAATGGATGTTTCTATCATGACGTTGTTAAATTATCATCATTTCTCATTGTACGGCCTAGTATGTTTTTATTAACTATTAAATGTTACTTACTACACTTCTTGAAATATACATTGTAAAAAATGCGCATCATTCATTTCTGCAATTTTACTATTGCCATTATGTTAACGGTACAGTATGTTTGCATATATATTAAGTCTTAATAAATGTACATTCCTGATCAAATTTTACTTATGACACCACTTGAAATATACATTGCAAAAAAGTGCATCATTCATTATTGCAATTAATTATACTCATTATTGCCATTTCAATTTATTGACGGTACAGTATGTTAAATAGAAGATGTACAATGTAAAAAGCAAATAAAATATCCCTTCTATTCTGTTCACATCAAGGCATTTATGAAGGTGTTATTTTTTCAAGCTCATGTAGAAAATCCAATCGAGCTAACACCTTTTAAGGGTTTTATTACTACGCCAAAAACTCACGATTACTTCATAATTGCCATAAATATTAGACAGTTACATGGTAATATATTTCTTAAACTTGGCAGAAAAAAACACCATTCAGAAGTTAAACATGACATTTTCAGAAAGATACCAAATCGTATCAAGCGGATTAAAATCTCTTTGTCACATAAGTTGTAACCGCATGCAGTAGTTCCAAACCGTAACAAAGCATAGTTATTTTGCTGACTGTAAAGAGGGTGGTGTTTTCTTCATTCCTTCACCTGCTCAATTTACCATGTTCCGTATTTCTGAAATGTAAAGATCACCAATACACCTGCATTGTAAAAATTATATTCAACTTAGAATCAACTGTTTTTCCTTAAAGGCACATTATGCCTCAGAAATTAATCATTTTTTCCTACATTAGGCAGCGCAAACATAAGTATTATAACGTTCAAATAATGCTTTAAAGCATGTTAGATGCTTATTAGCAAAATAAAGTATGGCTGAATGTAAAAATATTTGTTTTAAAGGTCGCAAACTGAAAACACAGTAGTATTTTAACTTCCACACAAAATACTAAATCATTAAAACTGTTTTCAAAAAGCAAAAGATAATTCAGATAAATGACCAATGAATATCTGTTTTGAAACTATAATAGAATACCAAAAATAAAAAGCTTTTCAGATATAAAAATAAAAACATTTTTGGGGCATAATGGGCCTTCCTTTAAAGCTGCACACCTTAATACCAGCAAACAAACTGTTTAAGAAATAACTCTTCAGAAAAAAAATGAACAAAGATTTATTTTGCTTTGACCAGACCTTTCAATCTTTGTCGCAACAGACAAACATTTCAGAATTTCAGACATGGCAATACCTTGTGAATTTATGCATTAGGTTCTACTTTTTCACAAAAATATGCAACTTAATTATTAAACAAAGAGCACATACCAAGACCATGGAGAAAAAATTGATTTGTGCTTCGGATATTCAACTGTAATAGAGAACGATTTTCAATGCTGATTGACTGTTCACATCATTTGGCGGCGTCTTTGATGTGCAGCATCAACATTTAACTTGTATAATGTATAAAATATTCATATCACTTGTAACACTTTGCGTTTCACTTGCAAAAGACAGCAGACGCAAGGGTTGAATAACCAAATTAAAAAACAACAACAACAATGTTATCAATACTCTTATTAAAAATGCACATAATAGAATTCAGGAATACAATAAACAAATAATTACGTCTTACTCAAATAGTGGTCATCTATAAAGCTTTTATTCACTTGATGTCATTTAACGATTCTCTTATTATTTCTAGTATATTCTTAACTGCAATGGTTCAGTTATTCTGGTTGGGTTTAACCCTTTACCTATTGGTACGTGCACTCCGTGCCCAGGCTATATATCATCGTCTGCTCAAATTTGTATTTTGTCATTGAAATCCAATAAACTTCAAATGGACTGTTCCAAATTCTATGCAGGGCAGATCCATAACACTAATTTAGTAGGTGAATGGTTACTGTCTCGATGGTACAATAATAATTTTTCAGCTTTACTGGCGGAAGAAGGTCCAAAATAGCCCTCTATAAATTATTTTAGACACGGTGGGGCACTCGAGTAGAACCGCCAATTTTCTCTGCCAATTAAGCTAGCTGTGGATCACCTCTGTGGATCATCTCTGCACATGAAACTATTCATGAATTCAAAGTCGCTGCCCATAATAGTGAAAGAAAGGGGTGGGGTGAAAATGATTTGAAGTCAATGAATTCATTCAACCACTCGGTAACGGACGCCCTTTATTATAAATAAAACTTACAAAAGCTTTATCAAATTTGAATAATGAAGAAAAATGTTCGATACCAGTGTAGGTGTATATATATTAACTTAGCCAAAGCAATTCATGACTGAATAACAACAACAACGGTAACTGCTTCTGTGTTAAGCAAAGAAATTGATTTTATCAAACCCGAACATGAAACAATTTTCACAATGCCGTACTGTTTCAGAACCAAATGAATACACGTCTCATTCAAGAGCTATAAACAAGCCTTAAAGCTGCACGCCTCCAGATGAACCAAAAATATTTCAGGAAAACAAACTTAAGAAAAATGTACTCAGATTTTAAGAGAAGTAAAAAGATTTAAGATTCAAGTAATTATGTATGTGCTAAATGTCTTTAACGACCGAAGTCGCAGTTCTTATTACCATATTTCTACTGCGTGACTAACGCAATGGCTATTATTGTATATTTTGGCCTTGTTTGGTAATGTAAGTAGACTGTAAATGCTGTTTGTAATGTGTAAATTACTTTCCTTGTTCACTACACTATATTTTTTTCGATACATTTTCAAAATTTACATGTAGAATGGGCATGAATCGGAGGCATGCTGCTTTAACCTGCGGAAATTATTAAATGGACTTTTCAACATTTTATATAAGGAACAGTCCATTATAAATTATTATAACTAATTATCACATGAAAATGAAAATTGGAAGTTAGCAAACAGTAACGAGGCTGGTCAAACTGCACAAATGTGCAGGCTGACCGCGCTCTATTCTGGAGGCAAAGACTAATGACTTTCGCTTATAGTATACATGTAGCTAGCACATATTTGAAGCAGTTTGAACGTTATTGCTAAATTAATACCTTGAGAAAATACACTGTCAAATGTATAAACAATTAGCTAGCACATATTTAGAACAGTTGAATGTTTCTGCTAAATTCATATCATGAAAAATGGCACTGAATTCGAGATCTTGGTGGTTACTATCCAAATTATTGTGTTTCAGATAGTGTCATATTTGATTTATGAGCGCTAGTATATGCATATTTGTTGGAATGCTGCTTTATTTTCTAAAGTTGAATTACCTACATGGTAGTGTTGTGAATGGCTGGGCACGACTTTTTTTCAGTATTCAATTCGCCGGAGCCAATAATAATATGATATTGGCAAAGCCAATATTATATGTTATTGGCGGAGCCTTCGACTGGTTAACGGGAAATCTCCCGTTCACCATCCGAAGTCTAGTGGCGGCCGGTGAATAGACATTTTGTGATACTGGCGATACTGGTTTTTGCTTCCCAGAACCAATTCCGCGCAACAGTGTCAATGCTGTGTTGTTGCTCATATACATTTGTGAAAATTGACTATTTTGTGAATGAAGAATTGAAAGACTAGTATTGTTTGAACAGCTTTGATCAATGATTTTCGAGACAATACTGTTCCAAAAGTTTATACAGTTTGTTCCATTTGCTTGTTTTAATTTTGTGTCATTTGTTTGTTTTGCTATGAATGCCCTAACAGGGTTTTGTATGCCCGGTATCCCAACCTTTTGGTCTTTTTATTAATTGAGTCGTGCCCATAAAATGCCAAAGATTAACTAAGACATTACTCAGTGAGATAAATTACATATGCCACTATGTATGACTATAAAATAAAATTAGTTAAAGTTTTATATTGTTTTGTGGTTGTCCCAAATAACTAATTATCACATAAAAATGAAAATTGGAAGTTAGCAAACAGTAAAGAAGCTGGTCAAACTGCAAAAATGTGCAGGCTGGTCGGGCTCTATTCTGGAGGCAAAGACTAATGACTTTCGCTTTCAGCAGGCTAAGAAACAAATCTATACATATATTCATAAAATATACTTTTACCTCATCATAATCAGTAGGTTCAAGTTCTGTGCTAAGGAAGTACATGCCAAGATCAGTTTGCCGGAGCTCATTTCATATCTTTCGTTCTTTCTTTATTTCAAATCCTGAAACTGAAATATAGGTTAATTTTTTTAATCTATTTATAGGTTGAAAATTAAGATGTTAACGGAGTGTCACAATACAGGTCACCAGATAATTACAAAATACACATTATGCATTAGAAATAATTATGATATTTTATAGTATAATTATAATAAGAGATATTTTTATCTCTCTTATTTGTAATACATTCATAATTATCTCCCTTCTTTCAGCACAATCACTAATGTAGTGCCGATATCGTTTACCTATTCGTGAATTTAGTTATTGAATGTATATTTTTTGTATTTAGATTGTAAAACTTTAAGGAAGCGAGTGATCTCGGAAAGAATAGTTCTTTATTTTATGTTCAGTTCATTTTTTCTAGAAAAGCAACAATAATTACAAAAAGTCATAGTCCATCTGAAAAAAACATGCTTTCAAAATCAAATTAAAAGTGCTGATTATTTTGACTGGTACAATATGTTGATTAACTCTCACAGCATAATTTAAATGTACCCGTGCGACCAGTGCAGACCAAAACCAGTCGGCATATCCTTGACATCTGCTCATGATCTGCACTATTCGATATAAAGTCAGTACATATTTTGAATTTTTTCCTTAAAATGAGTAATGGTTTTGTCCAGATTTGAAGATGGGCTAGTCCATTTAAAATATTTTGCAGAGTTAAAGGTGTAATCAGCGACTCACAAACCCTTATCTGTAAAATGTATTGTTCTATGTTTAGCTAAATTTTGTATTTCTTCAAAATATCTTCACTTACCTTGACCCTCATTTCATATACTGAACGTCAGGGGAAGTAACTGAGATCACAACATCGAGTAGCAGACACACCGGAAGTCGCAAATTTCCACTTTAAAATTTAATGTCGTCTGCTACCTGTGGATACACTATTGGTAACATGGTCGAACAAATGTTACATTTTTTAGCATTTTAAAAATAATTCTAAGTTATTTGTTTAAATTACTGAAATGTTCTTAATGACCCATAACTCAGCATTATTATGCTCATTTGATAAGAATATATTGTAAACTTAAATTATTATTTTAAACATGACAGCTTTAAATAAAGTTGACTTAGTGGCATAAATGTAATTATATAAATCAAAATCTAGCTTAAAGTTAAAGGTGTTAAGATTATGTTTCCCGTTACACAATCATAATGAATTCTGAGGTAAGAAGTTACACACAAAACATATGCAAAAACGAAGTGTTTTACGAGAACAGACGACCAAGTGACTAAAATAGCCCTTACTCGTTTGCTAAAAATGGTTCATTATGAAACATTAGACAATAATGATATGTCAACATAATTATTACATTGACACGAAAGTTTAATCTTCAAAAAGTAGACAAGACATACGTTACAAAGTTATGATTTCCTTTTTCAAACCCTAACATGCTGAAAGCGAATCCAGTATAGAGCTGGGCCAGCCTGTAATTTCGGGCAGTCTGATATCGTGCATGATTGCATCTGCGCGACAACTGTCGTCTGCTAGGATTTTTCCCACCATTTCCTGCTTTACGTCTGCTAAATGATCAATAAACAATTTTTTCAATAGTATGAATTATATAGTGGTAATATTTAGAAATATAAAATTTTATCTAGTTTTGTCTTTCAAAAGTAATCCAGTGATGTTTTCTTACGTCATCTGAAAACAAACGAAAAACCAAAGAACAATAATAATATATTATACTAGGCTAAAATGTCGCATTCTGCATCTAAAATAATCAGTATATATAATTGTTAAAAATGTCGCATTCAACACCCGAATATCATTATTAGAAATGTCACGTTCTAAATCTAAAAGAATCAATGTTATCTTTAATATATTGTCGCATTCTCCGCTTTTGTATTTATATAATTATCAAAAATATCACATTACAATTAAACATCAATATAATTATACAAAATTGGGTATTGTACAGCTAAAAATTCAACATAACTATACATGTGTCTCCCATTTCTAATGAAATTGATATAACTATTTGAAATGATGAATAATAATAATTCGATTAGTACATGTACATGTTTAACAAAATCCAAAATCCAAAATTTTCAAATCGATCACAATGTATCAGCAAAGAATCAACTATCTTATCGACCACCAATTCCCAAACTATTCAGAAATAAGAAAAACAACCATAACACACAAATGACATTAACAACTCAAACAAAGACAAAGAAAAACTACCATAACACACATAAACAACTCCCACAAAGAGACAAACTAAGACACCGAACCAAAATCGAATAACCCCAATCACACACCAAGGAAAGAAACCAAAACAACCAAAATCGATATAAACAATGCACACAATATATCGTCAATATAATTAACATAAAACATAGTTTTCAATTTTGACAAAGAATCTTCATTTCTAAAATAAAATTTTGTAATTCTACGCAATTTCATTTACTGACATAATACCATTTACATGTATATATGTATATCAAATTTCTTATAATGTCAAATTTTCCAAATGTAAATTGAATTAAATAAGTATGCTGTTTTAATGTTGCATAATGTGTGCTGTCCTTGTTCCACAAGCATGGCCCGATATAGTATGATTACTTGCAAGTTCATTGGTTCCTTTTGAAATTTCATCTTCTGAAACTGGTAAAACTTACAAAGAAAAGTTAAAACTTATTTGTCTAAAAATAACTAGTTTCTAAAAAGAAAGCTCGTTTCTATAAATAACTAGATTTACCTGATGCTCACTACCTTGAACAACGTCATTTCATCATCATTGTAACACCCATAGACGTCCTCATCAAAACAACATTGTCATCAACATGGCCATCATTTTTACATATCACACGTCAATCATCCGTGTCAATACTTTGTTAGACCTCATATGCCAACTATCAATTATTCATATCTGTATTTTGTTTTATATCATAAGCCAATTATCATAATGGTCAAAAATAACTATGATCGTATACGTCACATGAAAAATTAAAAGTTTAACATGTATAATCCTTATGATTAATGCTAATTTATAACTAAAGTCCTTATTCATGGAAAATTTAACTTTGTGTCCAAAAAATTGTACCTACGAAAAATAATTGATAATTTACAAATTTTATGTGATACAATAACATTTACCGGATTTTCTGTGAAATATTTACATTTTTTCCTTTAAAAAAAAACAGTAACGCTTTCCCGATTGTAATGTGTAATAATATTACGTTTCGGCTATATAGTTTTTATTAATAAAATACAAAATAACTTACATTTTTGATTGATACTAAGTTCTTCGACGTCCTAAAATAAAAGAAACAATTCCAAACCTGCCATACTTTTGTTACCGTAACGTCCCTCTCACAAACTTCACGCAAATGTAGCTAACAGTAAAGTGCAAGGAAAATCACTCGACCATGAATCTTGAGCGCTCGGGGACAATCTTGTATGTTCTCACCAAAAAAACTTTACTAAACAAATCCGTTAAAGACGCCAGCAAAACATTTTCCGATCTCTTTTCAGTCACACGATTTAATTTGCTATGTATTTATTTGAAACTATTGTTCCCCGCCAGGACCAAAAAGTTAACGTGGTTGGCACACCATCACGTGACATGCGCGAAACAGTTTTTATTTGTCATTCGAGCATTAAGACGCACGAACAATTGGAAGTGGTATCAAAATGAAATATTGAAAGAAGCTGGGACCTTAAAGTTAAAAGCGGTTTATAATATATAAGTTTGTTAAGGTATTTAATTAAAGGAGCTCCATTGTGGTCCTAAAACCTAAACACATAAAAAATACATTCTTACATAGATAAACTGCAGGACAAATATGCAAAAGATGTTAACTAGACCTATCACTGAAGGTGATTAATACCCCCACCTGCAACTTTGACTTTATGAAAAAAAAAGTAGTCTGAAGAAAAATTTGAACACAAACTATCAACTGTGTACAAAGAAATATTTCAATTAATTGTAATCGCAACTATGGTCTTGAAATAAGCTTGCTATACACCAAGTTTGATTACAATATCTCATTCCTAACTCTACTTATTGTCCGGAAACCTTTTTTCTATTTTAAGTAACACTGTAACGGTGACCTTGACCCTAGGGGTCCAAATGCAACACTAACCCAGGTCTTCATATAAGCTTCCTATACACCAAATTAGATTACAATATCTCATTCCTAACTCTACTTATTGTCCGAAAACCATTTTTTCTATTTTTCCTAACGGTGACCTTGACCTTGACCCCAGGGGCCCAAATGCAATACCAACCAAGGTCTTTCATATAAGCTTGCTATACCCTAAGTTTGATAATAATATCTCATTCCTAACCCTTGTTATTGTCCAGAAACCATTTTTCTATTTTTAGTAACACTGTAACGGTGACCTTGACCCCAAGGGGTCCAAATGAAATACCAACCCAGGTCTTCATATAAGCTTCCTTTACAACAAATTAGATTACAATATCTCATTCCTAACTCTAGTTATTGCCCGAAAACCGTATTTCTATTTTTCCTAACGGTGACCTTGACCCCAGGGGGCCCAAATGCAATACCAACCCAGGTCTTCGTATAAGCTTGCTATACGCCAAGTTTGATAACAATATCTCATTCCTAGCTCAAGTTATTGTCCGGAAACCATTTTTATATTTTTAGTAACGGTGACCTTGACCTTGACCCCAAGGGGGCCAAATGCAATACCAACCCAGGTCTTCATATAAGCTTGCTATACACCAAGTTTGATTACAGTATCTCATTCCTAAGTCAAGTTATTGTCCGGAGACCATTTTTCTATTTTTAGTAACGGTGACCTTGACACCAGGGGGCCCAAATGCAATACCAACCCAGGTCTTCATATAAGCTTGCTATACACCAAGTTTGATTACAGTATCTCATTCCTAAGTCAAGTTATTGTCCGGAAACCATTTTTCTATTTTTAGTAACGGTGACCCTGACCTTGACCCCAGGGGGCCCAAATGCAATACCAACCCAGGTCTTCATATAAGCTTGCTATACGCCAAGTTTGATAACAATATCTCATTCCTAACTCTAGTTAGTGGCCGGAAACCATTTTTCTATTTTTAGTAACGGTGACCTTGACCTTGACCCCAGAGGGTCCAAATGCAATACCAACCGGACTTTCCACATTAGGTTGCTATATACCAAGTTTGATAACAATACCTCATTCATAACTCTAGTTATCGTCCGGAAACCATGATGTGGACCGACCGACCGACCAACCGACCGACCGACCGACAAGCTAAACTTTGTTTGTGGGGGTATAAAAACATATAGGGGATATTCAAGTTTTTTTCTGTAAATACACGATTTATTTTCATCAAGTGGTATGAGAATAAATATTTCATGAGTGGCGGTAGCCACGAGTGAAATGTGATAATTTTCATGCCACAAGATGAAAATAAATCATGTATTTATAGAAAAAAATCTGTTTATTATATACATTTGTCTCTATTTTCAAATTACAATTTAGAAGACTTTTCCTTAAATTTTGTGTACTGGCAGAATTTAAAAAAAGAGAGAAGTCCGGCAAGACACCAGTGAAAACACAGAAAATATTTTTCATTAAAATACTTTTTTACAGTGAAGTACGAAAATGAAAATAAGCGTTTTATTTCATCAATATTTCTCAATATTTCATTTATAGGTATCTAATAAATATATGTACTCTGATTTGATTTCGATATAAATTCTATTTTGTCAAGGATCTTAATTACAATGTTATATATAAATCCGCGATTTTGTGTAATTCTTGTCCGATTTGGGTTAAAAGCGTTTAACCACTCTTCATTTTTGGGTCATTTTGCACTTATACTGGAAAAATGGAGTGAGCGAATAATCTGAAATCTTGCACACAAGTTAACGTGCATCCAATAGAATATAAATTTAGAAAAAGATATTATTAGTTTCGTCATAGCAACAACGTTTATTAGAGATGTAGATTTATCTATATCTCTGCGTTAGTTTTAAAAAATTCATACCCTGATTTGTATATTTTAACTGGAACAATAATATATTTTTGGTCCCAGATTTTAATTAGAATATATAGGAAACACATTTGTGACATTGTAACAAATGTGAACAAAAAAAGTAAATTACATCAACACTGACTTATTTCTTTTTTAAAATCAGCAAAAGACTAAAATAACAAAATTGAAAAAAAAAAAAAAAAAACAGATTGCAAAAGTAGAAAATAAAAAATATTCATAAGATTGTTCAAAATGCAGCGCGTATATATCACATCTACACTAATTTATTTCTGTTGCTCTGGCTATTAAAACGTTCAACGGCGCCTCTGAAAATTTCATTGATAGGTATAGAATTCTGATTTTCACGTGTAGTCTATAGCCGGGGAAGCCACTTATTTGGGGTAATCTCAGGGGCAGGAAGCTTATACATACGTCTGAAAAATCTTTTTTCCTTTTGTAATGTTTTTCAGTATATTTTTCCATATTTTCAAATAAAAAATCCATGAAATATTTTTGTTACCTTTTTCATAAGAGGTAATTTTAATTCTTTAAAAATACACCATTTCGAAATCACATACCATTTTCTTCGATAATTGCCACAATTTAAGCAAAAGAAGAAATACTCAATATTCTGTTCTTTACCAGTTACAAATACAGAGAAAGTTAGCTAATAAAAATAAGAAAAAAGGATCTTATTTACTTTTCATGTAATAAACTTGAAAACGAGAACGGTGAATGTTTTTCTCTAATGCAAAGTTTAGAACATTTTTAATTCTGACTCCAAATACAGTTATTTCTGTTTAGTTTTGACTGTAAACTCTACTTATTTTGGATATGTGATTTTCTATTACTTAATTCATTTAAGTCGTTGGTTAATTAAATAAAGAAGTAATATTTTATCAAACGTGTTCAATAATTCAGTACTGAACCCTAAGCGAAGGTAAGTTAAACCTGGAAGCTTAAAGACTGTTGTTTTCTTATTTCTCATATTATGTTTCTTTTTTTAACCAAATGTCAGACTGTTGGCGGCCGCGCCGAAGCGCGACGCCCCTTATGGAACGAAATCAGATTTTGTGAAAGGGCAAGTGCAACTTCTCGGGCCTTTTCGTCAGTCATAATAGCCGATCATTCCGATTGGTATGAGGGTGTTTGATTATCAAAAATGAAAGGTCGCGATATGTACAATGAATAACGAACTGGAGAATTTCGCAATGCAAAAATATTCAATGAATAACGAACTGAAGAATTTTGCAGGAAATGAAATGCAAACAGATTCAACATTAATTGCACTCTTTATAAATCTATAGAAGAAATTTAAGTATGCCATTTTTACGAATTGTTATATCATTTTGAAATTGTCTTTTCTTTTTTGAGCGAAATGTTGATTTGCCGAATATTGTGACATTGTGACATTTTAACAACAGAAACTTTTGTATGCAATTTTAACATGAGTTATAATGGGTTTTATTAATAGGAATGTAAACACACGGGTGGGTCAGGTTTTTGCAGTAATTCATTAACCCCTACAATAAACCAATTAACAGACTTAGTTCATTTTGACTACTATTTTGTGTGTTCCAAAGAAAATACCACATAAACTTGAAATTCTATCAAATAACCAATGTTAATGATGTTATCCAAAAATACTCTCTATATAGTATAAATAAACATATACCATATAGGGGGTTATATTTTGGATATAAGAAACCTGTATATTTTATCGTTAATATTGATATAATTTTAAGTTCTGGTGGAAAAAAACCATTTAATATTCTAATCTCTAGCATGCTTACCATAATTCATGATGAACAATGTCTATCGTCTGATATACAATTCTGGTAAAAACCAAATAATCATTGAAAAGTTTATTAGAATATCTGGTCATCAGATGTCTACTAGTTCATCCTCAATGCCGAATTTCTTGCTTGGACGCCCTTTGATGCTTTGCATAAATGCTTTTCTTTTAAGATATATAAATATATATATATATCAAATATGCGCACGGTTTATAACAATATCCTTGTGGCTATTTTGTATCATAGGCAAAAATAAAAAAACACGTTCGAATTCCCTATTGTCGCAATATGAAACTCTTTTGTATCATAGGCAAAAAAAAACACGTTCCCTGTTGTCGCAATATGAATCCCCAGAAAAAGTAACCAATGTACGAGCATCTAAATATGTACTCTCCTGCGCATCGGTCGAATATTCTTCTATCGCTCACTTTCTTGTCTGAAGTAGAGTGAGTGTATTCAGTGAGCTGCGAAAAAATGAACCAATCACTGGACATGCTTTCGAGTGCGGGTAACTAAAACTGCACTCCAGTTAACGCACTATGACTGTATACGTATACGATTGAACTCTGACACATTTTCAACAGAAAGGTCCTCAAACTACGATACAAGTATGAATTG